CGCCCCTCCCTGAGCCTGGTTCTGCTGGAGGTTTCTTCCTGTTAAAAGGGAGTTTTTCCTTCCCACTGTCGCCAAAGTGCTGCTCATAGGGGGTCATGTTAATGTTAGCAAACTGACACACAGATCTGCTGGTAACAGAAAGAAACCAACTTCTTTGATGGTCTGCATCATCACATCTGTCAGATAATCTATTAACACGCCCCAAACACAGTGCACAGCTCCAGCCGGGCAGACGAGGATCTGATATAATTACTGTCGTCCGTCAAAGCAACCGCGTCCCTGACTGCAGTAACCAGGTGGATGAATAACAAATCCAACCAAGAGTTTTATGAAGGGGGATCCAGCTGAAGAGACTAAAGACTTTATTTTGCACCATGTTGTGTCTTTAAATGTGCTTTTTATGGCTGTGAAGTTTCTTTTACCTGTGAGTTAAACTGTCCTCGTGTGGCACCGCGAGGAGCTGCAGTCATAGTTTTGTTGTTTGTTTTTTTTAATGGCACATTTTGAAAAATATCATTAAACCTCAAAGTTGAAAACTATTGTTACAGGTCCCTGTTTATAAGATTTGGTTTAAAAAGAAGTAACAGAAACACCACGGTCTGTAAAACACGAAAGGTTTAGAACGAGGCGATGTACGATTTTCAAATTGATGCCATAAATGTTTCTCACCTCAGATGAGTTTGAATCTTAAGGTCAGAGGTCAAGTTTTCTGTGAGTCTTTTGAATGTGATATCAAGCATGTCTCATATGATCCTACATGGGATGTTGATGCTATATAATATTTAATACTATGTTTCTCACCACCATTGTTTGTACTGATGGCATTCAATTAGATGAAACTTTATTAATCCCTCGGGTCGGTTCCTGCAGGAAATTCAGTTTCATAATTCAGGCATATCGGCATGCAGGGAATGATATATGGATAATGACACGTCATCTCATTATGAGTTTATGTCACAAAGTTCCTGAATATGTTTTTTATTGGAAAAGAAAATTGTTGTGATCAGAAACATTTTCACATGGATTTATATCTAAACCTGTAAACATGCTACACATGCATCATACCCACATAAGTAAAACATAAAACAAAGTAACTGTAGAAAACATTTCACGTATATTGATACAACAGAGAAAACAACACTTGAACCTTTTTCTTTCTGCACTACAAACATGTTAAAGTGCGTTTAAAAAGAAAACAGAATGAATATTTACTGAACATAAAGTTACTCCCTTCAAAGTAAGAGCGTGAGCTGCCTTGTTTCTTATAGTTTAAGTTATAAGTAAATGCACACTTCCTGCACTCTCGTGATATTCCCCCAGCTATCTGTGGAAGCCAGGATGCCTTTTAAAGGTGTTCCTACACGTGTACAGCTGTAATCAGCAGCAGCTTCTCTCTTTATCCGGCTCAGGTTGGACGTTTGTAGGAGCCAGATCTGCCTTTCTTTGTGGTTTTGGGTCATTGTCCAGCTGAAAAAACAAACGGTTACTTTCCACGCTCATGCAGACCCACTCAGTGCAACCTGACTCATGCTCTCAGATCATTAAGAAGACCAGGAGTCCCAGCAGTTCTCTTAAACAATTCCAGCTGAATGAACTGCATTAAACAGCTAAACGCTGAACGCACCACCAGTGCACCCAAACTTCAGACTGGTTCTGTATTTGTAAAACGAATGCGCCGGTTCCCCACGGCTGCTAAGAGAGAGATGGGTGGGGATGATTGGACCAACAAGCCGTAGACAAATACAGATGACAGGAAGGAAACGTGGAGTGTGGAAGAAGAGGATTCATCTATCCTCTATTGGAGCAAACTGATACTGAGCTATCATCCACACAACAAATGCCTTTTTC